GCCCCCCTGCTTACCCCTCTGCCCAGCCCCCTCCCTACCCCTTCTGCCCAGCACCCCTGCCTGGCCCCCTCAGCACAGGGCTTCTTGCAGTTCGACTCCTCTGCTCAACCTCCATCCCAGGCCTTCTCAGGTCCCCCTGTCTGACCATCTTTCCTTCTCAGCCTCTCACACCCAACCCCTTCTTCCCAGTCCCTTCTGCCCAGCCCCCTCCCTACCCATCCCCTCCTGCCCATCCCCTCCGCTCAGCCCCTTCTGCCCAGCACCCCTGCCTGGCCCTCAGCACACAGGGCTTCTTGCAGTTCGGGCCCTCTTGTTTTGAGGCCTGGAGGGGTCCAGCCTGCACCCCCCTGCTTACCCCTCTGCCCAGCCCCCTCCCTACCCCTTCTGCCCAGCACCCCTGCCTGGCCCCCTCAGCACAGGGCTTCTTGCAGTTCGGGCCCTCTTGTTTTGAGGCCTGGAGGGGTCCAGCCTGCACCCCCAGGGTGAACTGACAGCTCCAGGCCCCAGGTCAGAGCCACTTCCTTGGGCTTCGTTCTCACGCCCACGCCAAAACCACTTCCCAGTGGGAATCGACTCTTGTCTGAACTCAGGTTTTCCAGCGATTCTCCACCAAGACCAGTTTAAGGCCCCGGAACAATTCCTCTCCTTTCTGTCCACACAGAACTCCCAGCTCATCCACCCCATGGCAGGCCCAGCAATGCTGAGGGCCCTGCATGGGGGAGGCACCACGTCCTCCAAGACGGCTGAGCAGTGAGTGCGATTCCTGCCGGTGTCCACAACCTCCCGAGAGGCAGTTCCCGGAAGGAGGGCCCCTTCCCAGACCCAAGGGCCTAGCGGAGACAGGACAGACAGACGGAGTCGTAGCACAGACACAGGAAGAGCAAGCGGCGCTCAGTATAGAGCCCCACGGACTGTGCACCCGGGGAGGGAGGAGGGGAGCAGGCCCGGCGGGGAGGAGGTCTGGGAGTAGAGTGTGTGGTGGGTGGACGGAGGGGAAGGTTGTGAGTGGAATTTGGAGGCGAGAGAAGGTAGATTTTGTGAGGTTTCAGGGCGTCCAGGGAGGTGGGAGGTGGAGGTGGAGGCCAGAAGTCCAGTCCCCAGCCCTGTGGAAAGCCTGCAGTCTCGCGCCCCGGCCTTGGCCCCAGCACCTCCCAGTGCACGACCTGGGACCCCTGGCCCCTCAGTAATGCACCTGCCGTGTGAGCTCCTGCAGCCCCGGCCGGGGTCAACTTTCCCAAACCGAGTGGCAAATAGTGCGCTCACAGGGGTGAGACCTAAGAGCAGACTTCGAGGCACCTGATGGGATCGCAGTCCCTGTGTCTCCCCCGGTGATACCTCTGCGGGTGCTCAGCCCCAGGA